AAATGGGGGATATAATTAATTTCTTCTACTGCTTTTTCTCCACCAGCTATTGAGAATCTAAGTTTTTTCAGGACAGGGACAGTCTTTCACTAGGTGTTTGTATGTGCCTATCACAATGGGGCCCATTTCACTTGGTTTCCAGGTGTTACTGTAACTAATAGTAGCAAGCACAAAGGCTGCTAGATACTGTAGTCTCAACAAATTAAGCTTTTAACTTCAACTTCCTATCTGGTAAAATGGCCAGAAATTAAGAGAACTATAAAACTATTAAGAGAAATACAAAAAGATTGCTTCTGAGCAGTGCCATTTTTCCATATTTATTTCCCTCTTTCTAGACTTTTTATACAAGTTTCTGGAGTAAGAAATGGGACAAGGTTTATCCTTTTTTATATAGGACAGAAGGGACTGGAAAGACTGGACTTTCTCAGATAATGAGCAGCAGTGGAAATGCATGGTGTCCATCAAACTGCTCTTAGAAATGAAACTCACAATATAAGTGCAAAAACTAACAGACGGGAAAATGAATAAAAATCATATTAGTGCTGGAAATTCAACTTTCTACTCTTCTTCCTGTACTGGAATGTAATAAAAAATCTGTCCAGTTTCAATGCTGTTGAAACCCACACGAGCCCCAGAACAAGCAACCTTTTGGGCCTTGTGTGGGACTGTACAGCGCAGATGCCAAATCGAATTTTTATTAAACCCAGTTCTATGAAAAAACATCTTCTTTCCTATTAAAGGCCAAAGCAGCACTACTGAAGAGAAGGAAATGTACAGATGCTGTCCCAATGCACTATATAATATTTCAGTACCTTTACACAGAATATTTTTTTAGGATTAACTTAACTGCATAAACACAGAACTGTATAATTCATGGAACAAAATAAGTTTGTCTTGCGTAGTTGTTGAATAGCATTTCCTTTCTCCTTAGCACATTTCCCATATTGTTATAATCAGGAATTCATCTACAATACAAATAGTGAATTTAGAACTGTATTTGTATACACTTTGTGCAATAAACCAAATGTATAAAGTACCCACGGTGGAGTGAAATTTCATTTTTTTAAATTTATAAGCAAAGCAATAGAAATGTTTATGCTTTATTGCTCTAAACACAGCACAGGGACACAATAAGCAGTGTATGGTATGCATTTCTACAATTATTTCCAAGTATTTCTTGGGAGGTGTTCCTCCAAATACAGTAATTATGTGACACAGAGCCTTTTACTATTATTTTTTTTCATAAGAACCTCTAGAGAAGTACCCCCTTCTCTAGCAAATCAGAATGAATTCATATGTGCGTACTTACTGCTGAAAGGAATTTTTTAATTTACACAAGAGTAAAGTCACGGCAATATTGTACTTTTATCATTTCTGTTATATTTCAGAGAACTTAAAGGCCATAAGTACCTAGAAGGGAAACCCAGGGAATAGAACTCATAGTTGCATATTAAATTGACTACTTAAAAATCTTCAGTAGTTATTACATTTCTAATATTTTTTCTAGTAGGTAAAACTTGAATTATAAAGGTTTTATAACCACATGCTAGTGTTAACAAATGAAAGAAATGATGGGACATGAAAGGATGGAGGGCCACATTCACCAGTCTGTTAGGACTTTTTTTTGTTCTACCTGAGCAGCATAAAAAGGCTGAAAACTGGTGCGACTGATCAATTTATGATCTCCCTACCATCTGGGAATTCTTATGTGGTATAGGATCAGTGTAACAGTCCTGATACCATCCTCCCATCCATAGGCTAAATGACTAAGGCAAGAGGGTACACCTTGAACTCTTGTGGTTTCCTGGCTGATAAAATGACCTGTTGGCTATTATCAGGTGGTTCAACTTAGAGAAGCCTCAAGGTTGCCTCTCTGATGCTGGACTCCTTTCTTATAGCTTGAAAACTGTACAGAAGGTGTAAGCCCCTGTAGGCCCCTCAAGTGAATTTGGAAGCAAACAGCTAGCCCCAAGAGTCTGGCCCGATTGACTGTTTATGTAAAGCTGAAAGTATGTGGCAATGTGAATACTGATGGGGGAAGACAGTAGGAAACCACACCTAATTTAGGTTGAACTTGTCAGTAGTGACCAAAGACTACGGAAACTGCCTTGCTTTTTGGCAATCCACCTTCCAGTTTCAAACTGGAAATGATAAAACCGTCATGCCAAATCACTTTTGAAAATGTGAATGTTAAAGTCTGTCCTGAAAATTCAGGTCCCTTATACTTGCTCTGTTAAAAAAGGAGTCTGTGGAACAAGCTTACTTTCTAATTTGCAAGTCAAAATAAAATTATTAAAATATTAATTTAGAAGAGTTTTATGCAAGAAGCTCCAGTATGGTCAAATGGATTACCTCAAACCTGTATCTATAATAAATATAACAACATGATACATAAAATCCCAAGATGTGCAACAAAGATATTAATAATCTTTCAATAGTAAGAGTATTGCTGAATCTTTGGTTAGCACAGACAGAAAGGGAATAGGGTTAAATAAATCTCTATGTAACTAAATTCCTTATAGTTTCCTGATTATGAGACTCTTTGGAAAGTAATGTCTATTTTGGGAGAGTTTGGTGGGCTTTACACCTGATGTAGAGTTGAAGGAACTTTTCAACCTTCAGTACAAGTCTAAAGAACAACATTGACAAGAGGCATACAGAAATACACAGTCTGTGATACTGGGCACACTACATGTTTCAAGTTGAAAGAGTTTTGATGGAACTGTATAGATTACTGGGGTAAGGCAGAAAGGTAAATCTTGGCATGTATGCAGTGGCATAGATCCATCCCAAGCATGAAACTGGGGGGGCACGATTTGTAGGTGGCAGTGGCGAGTGGGGACTGCCTGCAGACGCTGGTGGCGGTGGGGGGGGAGGGGAGGTGGTAAGCAGCAAGAGGGGACTGCCTGCAGACCCTGGTGGTGGTGGCAGTGACCACCCACAGATGCCGGCAGTAGCAAGGGGGGGGTGGCAAGTGGTGACCGCCCGCAGAAGCTGGCAGTGGCCAATCTCAGGGGGTGCATGGGCCACCCCCACATTCCCCTTTTATACATTGCCTATGATCCCAAGAAGAAACTGGGATTAAATTACAATTATATAAAGTCTGTCATCCAAACAGAGGCTGAGTCCAATAGATCACTCCTGTTTTTGGTATTCTCTTAGCTCTTAATGACTAAGAAAATACAGAATGTCAATGTATCGGTGTTAGACAAGGTTCTTTGGGTAGATGTGATATCTTTTACTAGATCAACTAAATAGTGAGAAAAATTGTTCTTTGCAAGCTTTCAGGCACAAACACCTTTTCTCAGGTGTAGGGAGAGTCTGTGTTCTCCTGGATGGAATAAAAGCCAGTGTGCAACATGCAGGTCTGTGGAAATGTAAACGCGTGACAGTGGCGATCAGAGGAGAAGGGAGGCAATAGGTGTGAGACAGGTAGGTGGTGGAGGAAAAGCGGGTGATAGAATGTAGGTGGTAAAATGCAGGCAGGTTACCTGGGGTTATTGGATGGCAGGCAGGTTAGAAAGTGCCAGAAATCCAATGTCTATATGTAGACCATGATTTTTTGTATCCAATAGATTTATGAAGTAAAGTTTGCAGGCTTGTCTACAAAAGGTGTTTTGTAAATTCCCTTTGAGAACTAGACTGAAAGACTGGAGAATGAGTGGTTGTCTTGTGAAAAGTGTACACCCGCAGGTAACTGGGTGATTTTGTCTTTGATATATTTTCGGTGTGCGTTCATTCTGTTATGCAGCTGTTGTTTGGTTTCTCCTACATATTTTCCATCAGGGCAGTTGGTGCATTGGATGAGATATATTACATTTCCAGAGGTGCAGGTATAAGATCCAGAAATGATGATGGTTCTGTTGTGTGGTGTAGTTATTGTGGTGGTGGTGGAGATGTGTTGACAGGTTTTACATTTTTTGTCCCAGCATGGTCTAGATCCATTCGGTGTGCTTTGGGCCATAGGAAGTTTGCTTCTGCTGATGAGATTGGTGAGGTTCAGTGCTTGTATAAAGGCTAGAACGGGTGGTTCTGGGAAAATCTCTTTAAGAGTTGTGTCTTCTTCTAGTGTGGGCTGCAACTGTTTGAGGATTTTGTGTCTAAGTTCCAGGGAAGGGTGGTATGTCATAACTAATGGTGTGTGATTTGTGGGGATTTTTGTTTTGTACTGCAGCAATTCTTCATGTGGTATCTGGGTGGCTGTTTCAAAAGTGCAATCTATATCTCTGGAGGAGTGTCATTTTTGAGTGAAAGCCCTGTAGCACTGCAAATGACAAACTGTGCATGTAGGCTTTCACTGAAGTATGTAGCATCAGTGGTTTTGCAAATATTGCTAATATGAAATTGCAAATGTTATTAACAGATCAGTGTTTATCAAAAATGGGAACTTGGCACTAGGCTTCTCTGTCTATATTAGGCAACATGTTCACAGTGCTAGATCACTGGTCCCAGTGAAGTCAATTGGTGTTTTGCCATGAGCGTCATTGGCCAGGATTTCACTAACATGCTGGCTCCAAATGTGTCAAAGTTCAGAGGTGTTCTTAACTGGGTTTGTGGTTCAGTCTGTCCTGAAGAGGAGACCTGCTCAGATTGGGATCTGACCTTTCCTGATATATAAGGTTGTAGGTTCTGATCTACCCATATTCTTCTGTTTAGCTGAAGGAAATTGAAAGGTTTTTTTTTAAATAACAATGAGTAAGATACACTAGCTGAGGGGTTGAAAATACAAAATCTTATTAGGATGAAGGGTGTTTGCTATCAAAGCAGAACTTTCCCAGGGCACTTCTGAAACAGTGCCTGTAGGAAGATGAGTTTTCTAAATGACTTTTCTAACTTCTTTTTTGGCTCAGATTGGTAATTGGTTCATTTCCAGGTACTAGCAAGAATGTAAATATGGAATGAATCAACTTTTTCCACATTTTCTTTAGCAGCCCTTTTATGAAGACCAGATTTTCCACAGAGGAAATTAAAAAGTACATAAAACTGAGAAACCAGGGTGTTGTTGAGAACAGCATCAGCTTTCAATGTCACTTTATAACTGGCAGTGCATACTGTATTCAAATGGCATTAATATAAAGTACAAAGTTTGTTTCAATTAGTTTCATTTTTCTTTGAGAAAAGGAATTATCATAAATCCCTGAAATAACATTTGTCCAAAGAGATGTGTATCATTACTTTGGAAATCTTTTATGTCTGTTTTTAAATTACACTTCCTTGTAAAAATGACTATACACTGATTTAATAAATACATTTGATTTGTGTGTAATGCTTAAATTAAAAAAAGATGCAGCATAACTCTTATTTCCTGTACAAGATCGTCAAATAGTTTTTTCTGTAGTAAATTCAGTCAGAAGGAACTTTCTATTTTACTGTGCATATGTGTGGTTTTTCTTTGTCTGTTAGTGAAAAGAAAGAATTTTCATTAGGATTTGGTTCATATTTCTTTTTGGATGGTATTCTTTTGAATGATTTCTAAAATAATCTCCACTTCTGAGTGCATCTATAAACATCTGAAAATTTGATATTTGATTAAAGACAATTGATTTGGACAGCTCAAAAAGCCAGAACTTCATGCAAAGTGATATCTGGATTGCCATCTAAATATAAACCACATGTAAAGCAGATGCTGTAAATCTGCATTCAGACAAATATCCATTGATAGTTTTTAGTGGCGGCATCTTTCTAAGTTACAGCACTTTTGCACATTACATGCCATGTGAAGTGCAGTGTTTTGTATGCCAAGACTAAGTATTATACATGTTAAAGTTCCTTCCCTTTCCATTGTGACACTAGAAGTATAACCTTTATTGTCAATGTCTCAGCTGAATTTTCTAAAGCAGATGAGTGGAAATTCATGGAAATAGCATGTGTTTCACCATTTTCCTTTATTTCTCCCTGAGGACAAGCAGCTGTCAGGTCATCCCCCATTGCAGAGCCTGAAGCCATCAAGAGCAGGGATATATTTGCCTTGTTCTGAAGGGCAGCTTTTCTGCCGACTGCAGTGATCACATAAATACCTTCAGGCCAGTGTATCTGAGTCATCAGTGAGTGACCTCACTGACAATCTGAAACCACAAAATGCAACTTATGAAGCTTAGCTAGGCAGGCCAGCTCGATCTAGGTATCGAAGTAGCAATAAACAAAGAGGAATGAATTCATTCATGTTCACGCTTACATTTTTCAGGGCAGCGTGAAACTAATTCTAGAGACTAATAGTGGTATAAAACCCTTCTATAGCACTTTTCATAACCCTGTTACCTCAAGTGCTTTACAATAAAATCCAGGGTACCTAACAGAATTTGCTTTTCAATGTTCCTTATCTTTAATCTGTAATAACTTGCTGGGAACAAGGGAGAGTTCAAAAACCAAATAAACGTAGTGCTTTTTTATTTTGCAGACCTTGTGTATGGAAGTGGGGGAGGGCAATGTAGGTACCTACCAGTACTGCAAGCTTTCCCCCACCATCCCCTTCCACCATAAGCGTCAGTCAGAAAACCACACTACAGGCTGAAATGTTATATATGCATATGCATATATTTTGTAATGCATATATTTTGTTATATATACGCATAATATATGCATATATTTTGTTATATATACATATGCATATATTTTGTAATGTATATTATTACATTTTATGTAATAAAATGTATCCATCCAAAAATTACATATATATTAGGCCTGTAAGAAGTGGTTCGTATTTGCTTCGGATTCAGATTCGGCCAATTCGGGGGACAGTGATTCGGTTTGGTGATTCGAATCACTGTCCTGATTCGATTCAGAGATTCAGCTGCTGCTGAATCTCTGAATCAGCCAGGCCCATCTCCCGCCCCTCTCCCAGCCCAGCAATGGCAGCCCTGCCCGCCCCAGCTCCCGGCACTTCTTAAAAAAAAAGCCCTCGTGCTCACTGGATGCTGCCGGGCAGGGGGCGATCCCCGCTGCCCCCACTGCCCCACGCTGTGTGGGGGGCTCTGCATGAGCCCCCCTAACCTCCCTGGTCACTCCCTCAGCCCCCCCACGGGTGCCCTGCCCGGGCCAGCTCCAGCCGTTGAAGAAAAAAACACCCCAAAAACCCAGGACTCTTTGCTCCTGCCAATGAGGGGTGATGCCCACTGTCCCCCATTGCCCCATGACATGTGGGGGGCTCTGCACAAGCCCCCGAGGCCACTGCAAAAGCGGTGAGATCCCGTGTTTTCCTAGGCTTTTTTATTTTCTTAAAGGGCTGGACCTGGGCCGGGTGGGCCCCGTGGGGGGGGGCTGAGGGAGTGGGGGGGCATCAGGGGGCTTGTGCAGAGCTCCCCATGCAGTGTGGGGCAATGGGGATCACCCCCTGCCCAGCAGCACCCAGTGAGCACTGGGGCTTTTTTTAAAAGTACTGAGCAGGGGTGGGTGGGGCAGCCATGGGAGGCTGGGGAAGAGGGCAGGGGTCGGGGGGCTGGCAAGTGTCCCCCCATGGCCCCCTCCCCAGTCCCTAGTACTTACCAGTTTGGAGTCAGCTGCAGCTCCCTGCTGCAGCCACTGGGGACTGTCTGAATCATCAAAGCTCTCCAAATCTTTTGTAAAGATTCAGAGAGCTTTGAATTGTTTTGGACCTTTAAATTGGTCTCCTGATTTGATTTGGATTCAGAGATTCAGCCACCGAATCGGGCTGAATCTCCTCTGAATCAAATCACCACCTGAAGCTTCGCACAGCCCTAATATATATATATAAAATCCGTCCCAGTGAGGAGAATACACGAGTCATTAAGAACAACTTAAACTGAGATATTTATTTTTACTAACGTTGAAATTCACCTCAGATGGAGGGTGAGCACCAGGCCCATGGAACACCTGAATAAAAAGAGCTTAACAGCCTTGAACATCAGTTGAAGTCATGCCATGGGCTTATGTAGGGTTCTTCTACAGTCCCTTTTGCACCACACTGAATTTGAGCCTTAATAAAACTGAATTTCTCAGTTCAAACTTAGCCCTCTCTGCACTCAAATTAAGGAAAAGAATCTAAAGAAAACATGTATTGTTTATAGTTCTACTGATTTTGCAAACTTGCCAACAACCGACCTAAAGCAATGCCCGCTGAAGTCAATGGCAAGTTTCATTTGACTTTAAAGAGTGTTGGATTAGATGTTGTTTTCTCAACTGAACTGCCCTGTCAGCAATAGCATATTGATTTCCCTTCCAATTCACACGTATGAAAAAAATCTATGGTTGCCCCTTCATCCTTAGAAATGGAAGCATAGAGTATAATCAGTGTGCATCAGTCCTACCTTCACCCCCACAGAATTAATTCCTTCCTCATTCCCCATGGCACAACCAGAGAAGGAACATTTCTGGATGGGACCTGATGATGAGCTATGGTCACTCATTTTCAAAATATCTCCAAGCCTATGTCTGGTGTGGCTGAAGCATTGCAGTTTCTGTAGCCAACAGCATACAGCTAGTTTTATGTGCAAGCTATTTTTGACTACCCAGTCCCAATGACCAGATACCTCTTCATAGCTGGGTCAACTGGAGAGAAGCCATCGACACAAGTCTGAGGTGAGGCTCAAATTCTGTGGCTTTGAAGCCACAGAAAGACGCTTCAACTTCTATCACCACACCTGTCTTTTGCCCCTTTCAAGAACAGCTTGCAGCAGGAGCTCAGTCTAGGCCCACTGACAATCAAAACACAGGCCTTCCACTATGCCAGTGGCCTGCAACCTTTTTGGCCTGTGGGCCAAAATGACTCAGTTCAGCACAGAAAAGCTACTGATGCCAAAGCCCCATGTCCACAGACTGGAACAAATTGTTCTGTGGGCTAGATCTGGCTTGTGGGCTGCAAGCTGATGACCCCTGCACTGTGCTTTTTTGGGTGTAATTCTTCTGCACATGATTTTAATTTTTTTATTTTGATGCGTGATATGAGTGCTGTTCATGTTCACTATGTTTTGTCTATGAAGCACCTATAAAGTAAAAGATGTTTTATAAATAAAGTATGTTATCATCATTTAGGAGTAGATTCCATAAGTGGTCCACAGGGGGAGACCATTTACTTTTCAGATGGTGCACTGGCAATAAGCACAGGAGACACCTTAAAATGGCAGTGGACATATATTAAAAGTTGGCTAATTTAATTCTGTATACATATTACTTGTAAGGGAACTCTCAACACAAGTCCATAGATTTTCCAAATTGAGACTTTCTGCTCCAAGTTTCCTTAACCTTGGAGGAAGCCTAAATCAAGATCCAGAGTTTAGGTTTTAGACCCATCTCTCAGCTGCACATACAACAAAACGTTATACTTATTTTCACTGTAACTCATTACATGCTGTAGAAACTGTAGATCTCTTAACTTACCCAATCTAGGAGAATGAGCAAGCGCAAGAAACTGTTTCAAGATTTTTTCAGAGTTCTCAACCTTCAAAGAAAAAGGAAAATCACGCCAAGTGCTTGGTAGACATTGTAAGACAGAGACACTGTAACCATAGAAAATTAGCTGATGGGGAGCAATGGGTCTTGGTATCTCTCAGGGTCAGGTCCTATCATTTTACTTTCACAATACAACTCTTACAACATCAACAGATCCTTCAAACCACCATGAAATTGAACTAGGAAACTTTGATCAAAATTATGGAGGAGCGTCAGAAAAGCAGGAAGCTTGGGATCTCTGGATACTAATGTACTTTTTGTGGAGATGACAAACTGGAAATATGGCAAGAGTGATGTGGTCAGTGCTTGGAATATAGTCTGTAAGAGAGCTGAATGTGCTCTCTCCATTGGGATTACATTTTCATTTTAAAAGCTTGTTTCTTCCCTATTCTGGTCTCTTGAATCACATGTGCATACCATCAAATCAAACAGAAAATATGAAAATGCAAGTGTTCCTATGTGCTTATAAAAACAGAATATTCACAGAAGCTGTTCTGTAAATGTAGATTAACATGAGATCTAGGAACCTTGTATGACATCGGATAAATATTTACAAAATTTTGTGCTTTCATAGCTTTTTATACTGCAATCCAAGCTTATGTAAGTAGCTTATTTACATTAGCATCTAAAAATATTTGTCCTATCCTTGCCAGCATGACACATGCCTTAGGATCTCCATGTTTGAACAGTAAAGGGTTTATGAACTAGATGAGCTGCATCATTGTTAGTATGTAAGGCTCATAGCTGCATCATGCAATGCAAATTGCAGGACATACCTCTTTATCAGCCGAGCTGTATTTTAATGTTGCTGTCACATTAAATATTTGTTGCTCCAACTCAGTAAATGACAGAGTCATAAAGTGCAGAGATAGCCAGCATCTTAAGTGTTTTTGATACCTAATGTACATCCTGATATTGAAAATAAACCGCATACATTTAGGACTAATTATATGCAAGCTGTGATAACAGATTTATTTTACAAGCACTGAACTGTGATCCACAGCTGTAATAACAAGCTTAGGGAAAAAATTACCAAGATGGATAACTATGGATTGTGAAAGCAAATTGAACTTTTGTTTTGAAATGGTTTGGGTTGTTTAGGTATGTATAAATAGAAGGAACATGGAAACAAAAAGAAAGGATTGTAATTATAAGCCAGTTGGATGGCATTGCATAAAGACAGTGGCTCCTCTCTCTGTTATTTCTTAACTCATCTTACTGAGCTCAGCCTGGGACCAGGATGTTATGTTACATTTCAGGCAAATTGATGCGTCTTCAAGAACAATTGTCACTTTTGTGCATCGTTTTCTCAGTCAATTCCTTTTCTTGGAGGTGTGTTTAGTTAAATTAACTGACAGTCCCTTTGTTTAGTGACACAGAGTCCTTTAAATTCAATCCTGTGCAAACGATAGTTGCAGTTTTTCTGCCCTAGGAGAAGCTGTGGGAAGAAATGGTGACTCAGAGCCATGGTCCCTCCCTTCCTCCTGTCTTGTTCTTGTATAGGAGTAACTTAGAGTAAACCCTGAAAACTCTTCCCCTTGTGCCCAGCTAGCTACACAAGCCAACACACGTGAGGGCACAGCCAAGTATATGCCTATTCCACTCTGGCAGGCTTAGAATGCATCTACATTTTTTACACAACTGTGTTGCCAAGAGGTCTGGTAGCCACAGCTGGAACACTAAATAAATGACACAGTTTCAAGTGCATTAGTTTGCAGAATTCCATTAGCAGCAGCAGTTGAGTAGCTCTAATGCAGGTGGTAGAGTAATAATGAGGACACATGCAATGCAAGCTTGCACGTGCATTTGCTCTCCCCTTCCCTTCCTGCTCTCATCTATTTGCTTGGCTGCTTTAAGGCCACATTTAGGAGTTGCTGCTGCACATAGACTTACCTGCCCTGGCTTTAATCTGCCCTCTTTGAGAGCCATGTTCAGCCCTGGACTTTTGCTTGGGTGACTACGCTGCACTGAACCCTGTGCCACCTGATATCCTCTGCTATTGTCTAGTGAGCCAACACTTACCACAACTAATTATTGCTGTGCAGACTTACGCACAAAATGGTGAGGCAGAGCAGGAGAGAGAGAGAGAGAGAGAGAGAGAGAGAGAGAGAACACATGATTTGGAGCTCACGTGCCTGGCTAAAAATTACCCTACTGTGTTAGGAGCAGTCCAAAGTTACCCCTTACGAAACACTGAAAGCCAACACTTTGAAATTGCATCACTGTTTTAGGGTCCTGGCATGAAGAAAGGCGCCTAGACAGCAAGAGAGTTACCAGGACTGATTATACAGATGCATTGTTTCTGGCTAGCAAGAACAGTTTTCTGATAGAAGCTGTCCCTTATACAGAGGGGATTCTTTGCTCTGCAGCATTAGGGTAAGATTAGATGTTACAATTAAACTTTGTTATGGGCACTTAAAACATGAAGGATCACGTGTTCATGCTCATCAACAAGTGTTAAGTGCCCTCTATATATTTTGAAGTTATGCCATTAGCTTCCTGATGACAGATCAGGAATTATATGAGGAACACTGACTCATGGGTTTCTGACTAAGATGTCTCAAATGAATTCAAGGGAATCCGATGCTTGTATATTGAGATGGAATGGGGGAGGGGAGTAGGAAGTTAGTTACATTCTGAAAAAGTAGGAAGATCCCCCAAAAGGATTCCTGTATCAAGAACCTGCTCTAATTCCTGTCTAACAGCTCCATGACTAGCCACCTATAAGAGGGCAGTTCCTTTAAAGTACCCTCAAGCATAATGGATGCCCAAGTACCTGCTGCTCAGGGGTAAGAAGCTCCTGTCTAGTGATGAAAAGATTGGCTCTTTTCATCACTAGATAGGACGATGTCTAGTGATGAACTTTTTAAAGTCCCACTATGACTTAAAAAACTAGTTTACCTCCTACACTGTACCAGCCATACTGAAGGTATCAGCACTCCAGTTTTACTTACTGCAGCAGGGAGTTAGTAGGTAGCACAACTGAAGATAGAGAGTTGTAGAGTATGTTGGCACAAGCTCTTTCTTCTTTCTGCAAGTTGATCTGCAACCTCTAGGTAGACAAAGAATTTCTGGTTGCTTTAGACTGGAACACCAGATATGAACACAGGATCAAATGTTCTGTTGAGTTTGAGGGAAGCTCCTTTGCCTTTCTCTGTACCTAATGTTAATTTCTGAAGCCTCTAACACATAGGTCCTGATCCTGATCACACTTAGGTTGGATAATTCAAAAGAAATTCCACTCAATTTGGTCAGGTGTCACAGGCAAAAAATTGGTGAGAGATCAAAATTAAGTTCTTAATTTTAAACCTGGAATAGCACCAGAACTAGGGGAAGAAAGGAGTGCAATCCAAACCCTCTGAGACATGTCTCCAATTCTCCAGTATCCCAAAGCCAAGGGACAGAAGACAAGAAGTGCTGCCTTATGTTGCCAGTGTGTTACATTTCCCCATAGCTAATCCTCCAAGGCCAGTTGTATATGAGGGTATGGAGGGTGAACATGGTTGCTTTCAGTCCTCTTAACTCTTGCTCCAGCAGGATCTCACTTGCTACCCCTGGCTCTCCTAACTAACTGAAACCCACTAATACACCTCTCACTAAGGAAACCCTGTCACTTTTCATGGCTTCTGGTCAAAATAAGTAGTTTACAGAAGGGGACAGCACTAAAGACAATAATATGTAAGGCTTGCACTAATTATAACATGGCACTTAAGATGTTCTCTAGCATGATGCACCTTCCTAGTGTAGAAGACCACCTTTTGTAGCAGGCCTTGCCTTGCCTTGGTGAGAATACATGAGCACATGCCAGGCAGTCATGTCTTCTTCAGCTTACCAGAGGTGGATGGGTGATATTTCAGATCTGAAGCATATTTATCAAGTTGACCTGGTTCAAAACTACTTGTAGTACTATTAGGTAGATGGGAATTTAAAACAAGACAAACCATGCAAAGCATCTTAATGAAAACTTGTGCAGAATTCCATGAAACAAAAACTCTCAGAAGTTTTGCTCACCTACTACCACATTACACATAGCGTTAACTAGATGGCTTATGTCAGTGGTTCTCAACCTTTTTGGACTTGAGGCACCCCTCACTGGACTCAAGGCACCACTCCATAACTTCTGTGAATTGAATGGCACCCAGTTTCAAAAACTAATTTATATATTACAGCGATTACCCACTTGCACAAGGGCTGGGCAATGCGAGTAAGGAAATGTTTAGGCAGGAAAAAAACTAAGCCTAGGTTTATCTACTTATCTCCTCATACCTCATCTACCTCCTCACACCTTGTGGCACCCTTCAAAGGATCTGGCAGCACTCTAGGGGGGCCTGGAATCATCAGCCTATGCTGTCCTCCCTGCCTGTGGACCTCCTTTCAGTGTCAAACCAGAATTATATCCTTCTTTTCCTTAACTTAAAACACATACAAAGGAATTCTTAAATTTCCCTTCTCCTGGTTTTATTGCAGGTATGGCACAATATCAGTGAAGTATACTCTTATTACCTGTCCATGTCAGGAAAAGTGTTGTTTCCGGGACAACTATTTCTCACTTCAGACTTTTACCTGCAAAGAAAAGGAAACTGAATTTTAAAAAGGCAATTTGTTTAACTTGGAAAGCGTACCGTTTATGTGCTAGATGAATTGGAGTGAACCCGATTTGTGACCGGCAATAAAAATAAAGGGAAAGAAAAACATTCCTCTTTCCCAATTGAACTTGGATTACATTGGCTAAAAAGAAAGAGCTGCATTATTTGTATAGTTTTGCAGTGTTGACAGATGAGAAGTGGGATGGTAGGATGTTCTACAGTAGGGGGAGGGGGCTTTCAGAAAGAATGAATAGTTAAGAAGCTTTAATCCAGGTTTCTCTCTACTCCCTGGAAGTATCCGCATTGAGTAGGTGTTGGGGGAAATTTGAAAGAGGGGTAGGAAACAGGGGCATACTTGGTTTGGGGAAGAAAGAGACAATGCCATGGGTTGGGCAAAAAACTGACTCAGGAAACCTGGCATCTGTCCCTGGCTCTGCCTCTGACCTGCTATGCATTTGGTAAAGTCCCTTGGACATGCCTACACAGCAGGCGATTTTGCAAAGCAGCAATATAGTCAAATACACAGTACTGCTCCAAATCCAGGCCCTCTAAAACCAGAAGCAGTGAACTAGTTAGCACTGCTGAGGGCGAAGAGCCATTTCACCTGCTGCAGCACTACCTTGCTTCCTGTTTGGAGATAGTATGTGCAGAGCGGCACAACATGTGAGAACATGCCACTGCCTGTCACTGTTAGCTTGTGGTGCAGACATGCCTTTCCTTTCCTTGTCTATTTGGAGTATGGGCTATTCAGAACTGGGATACTCTTGTAATGCATATTTGTAAAGGCCCTAGTATGATAGGACCTGACTGCGGTGGGAGCAGATTGCTACTGTAATATGTATAACAGCAGCAGTCACCATCACTCCTCAGTGACTTTTGTCATTTCTTTCCAAGCCTAACGTGGGCTTTCTAAACCATGACTAAGGCAGGATGTAGTTGTAATTTGTACAGTCAGTCAAAACACAGAATCCTAAACTCCATGAGATTCATCATAATAGATTTATCAGTTTGAAATGCTCTTTTAATCTGAAAGTTTGTCCTGTTAGGGTCCATTGGGCACCGACTTCATTTGAGTTCTCTCTCAGCAATGTCACAATTTTCACAGTTAAAATACATACTTTTATTGTGGTGGCTGATATGGCTTGAAATTTCTAAGATTTTCAGACATATTAAGTATCACATTTCTTTCACTACCAACCCCCACACTGCACTTCTGGCAAAGCCATGTCTCACATTAACACAAATCAAGGCACTTTGGCTGAGTGTGTGGGTTGGGGAGGGAAGGGCAGAAACCACTTATGGTTGCAGTTTGGGAAAGCGCACTTGCTGAGCCTGGGGTTTGCCAACAGTGCTTACCACATTAACACCACAAACGAGACACACTAGGTGCTACTTTACATTTCACAGCCTCAGAACTACTGTGACTGTGCCAGGAAATCAAGCTGAATTCAACTGAACAGCAGTGGACCTTACTACATTTGTCATTTAGTTCTTACTCAATTTCTTCCATTTGTAGGTATGTTTGTTAGGTCAGATGCTCAGGCATGGCCAGAATACACAGAGTTAGCATCACAGCTGTGGAAAAAGAAACTTAAAACTCTAATCTCAACAGCTCTAGGAATTGGGCTGCTGTGCGCTGCTTCCTGCCTACATCATGCTGAACCGTAATGTTCCACAAAGGTATGACAATATAAAGATTAAGATAGTCAAGGGACATCCTGACTGTGACCATGTGTAACCAGGCCCCCTTCTCTGGTGATGTGGCTGCATGAAAGGGAACATGGCAAACTGCAAGCAGATGTATGCCTCTGCCAAATTATTCTTACACACTGCTGCTGAGTGGGGTTTTATTACACTGGCAGTAGAGCACAAAGCAGCCATATCACTCCAAAAGCCCATCCATTTGAGTCTATGGAGATTTATCTCCTCAACCCACATGAAGGCTTTAAGAAAGCAGCAAATCATGGCTTTAGGGTGAGTTTAAATCTCCCAGTTGCAAAACATCATGAAAGGGGAAACAGCTGGTTGCAGCTGTTTTTCTGGGTACTTTGGTCTTGGCTTAAGAAGATTGATCTGGCACATGAACTTAGCTTTAGTTTCTAGGGTCATTTCACTGTCTGCATCTGACTTGTCCAAACTGTCTGCTATAGCGTTCAAAGAACACTTCACAAAATCCAGCACAGCATTTGTTTTGGCCATCAACATGGATAAATTGCCATGCAATCCATCTCTGGAGATCTGGCTTCAAGTCCCAGCTCAGCCATGGACTTTCTTTAGGACTTTACCCAAGTCATTTAACCTGCCCCATAGAAATTCCCTTGCAAGAATCAGGTTTGCCCTGGAAGTGATTTTGCAGACTGAGAATCCCTGGTCTTGTGCATGGTAGATGCTTATAGCTTGAGGGATCTCGGTTTACATCTCAATTGAAGCATGGACTAACCTGATCATGGGGTACTGCGATAGGGTTGTCAAGGGAAAAATCTCCATTTTTACTCAGCAAAAGGCACGTTTCTCAGGCCTTACAGGAGTTGCCATATAGTGGACAATTCTAAAAATAAAATTCTAAGATATGTAGGATCATTATAGATTAAATACTGATCTTTTTGAAGATCAGGGTTTTTACTTTTTAGCTCAGTTTCCTGGCCAAATTTTCACTAGGTAATTAAATTCTATCTTCCTAAATGCCACTGCCATTTCAGCTGGATAAAGTATTCTTCACTTTGTGTCATAAAGGTGTCATTTCTCTAGCCTTCTTGGATCTTAGTCACATCTCTTGGGATTACAGGTCTGCAAACTGATTAAGGGAGAAGAGGCTACTGACAGCGAGGGCTGGAGATGAGAACTTATATTTACTATTCCTTTTACATTCATGGTGAACATGATTAGGGCATTTAACCTACAAAATTATGTATGAGGATTTGTTTTACAGCATCACATACAGATGATGCGAAATCAATGGACTGCTCTGAACTGCTGTTAAAAATGTGCATAGTTTTCTGAATATCTACTGTCCTCTCAAAGCACATGTGTAGTTTGAGTCTATACTTGCTTGAAGGGTAAAATAGACCCGTGTGTCAGAAATGAAGAACATTTTTTAGACATATTTCTGGATATTTCAGGTTGCGTCCCCACTAGTCTCATGCATCTTCAGGAACCAGACATTTACTGTAATGCATTGCTTCACGCAGAAAACACACTTCTGAAATATTCAGTTTAACACTTTTTACTGTTTTATTCAATCATAGCTATAAAAGGATGAACCAGGGAGTGGAAATAATTGAGAATTTACACAAAAAGTTTGCATCATACTTCATGTTTTGGAGAAGTTGATTGTGTATGCTTAATAGTCAAAGGTCTTATTTTTATGTGCTCATTGAGTTGCTTTTCCGTACGGATTAAAAACAGGCTTGTATTTAGAAGAAATATCCTAAGAAAGTGCACACTGTAGCAAAATTTAGATCGTTTAAAAAAAAGTTGTGTTTGAAAAGATACAAATTTAAAAAAATACAGGCTAAAAAAGTCAGTAAAGGGAAATTTTTAAGTGTCATGAAATAAAGTCACTTGTTTGTCAAAACATGGACTCTATAGATTGCCTTTTTTATATATATATTTGGTTCATTAATTGATTAGACACCATTTGAATTGACCTGAACTAATTTAGTTTTAGAGCACCACCTGTAGGAAAGCAGTGATCATTTGAAAGACACTTCACTATTTTTTATTCTTCAAAACCAAGCAGTAAATTTGTGTTAGTTTTGAAACAGGTACGGATAGTGTGCTGGAAATTCTGATTTGTAGCGCTTGTGAAATGTAGAATGAACAATCAATTTGGAAAATTTTTAATTTGCTTTTATTACCTATGGCTTCTTTCAACTGGTTATTGTTACTGGCAACCTTCTATAGGTGTATACACAAAATACAAAATGCTTTAGCACAAGTTTGATAGAAAAATATGGGAGTTTATTGGAGTATACAATATATCAGGAATCTAAACTACAGTATGCTTTAATATATTTGTATCCTGAAATAGCTGCCAGTGAAGGTAAGCACAAAACCAGGATTTTACATGATACACAATGACAAGTAAATGTGCATTTGAGGTGACAAATTGGACCTTACAGGGGCAATACATTTCTTCAGAAAAATCACAGTAGGAAGTTCAGTTTCCCTGCCCTGTTGATAATTGAAATTTGATACAGGTTAGATGTGACTTGATTGAGGAAATAGCTTATAAGGAATAATGTAGCTAACAATTTTTGACTTTTTTTATTCCTGTTCCTGAATTATAGAAAGCAGCTTGCTAAAGTCTCAAGTGAGACCTGACAAAAAATGTCTTGCATTCAAAACCTTGCCTAACTTTATCCCAACTGTATGGATGGTCTAGTAAAATATATCACCCAAAGAAATCCTTGCCTCTTAACACAGATTCTCAAGTACATTCATTATTTAAAATTCAACCTTTTCAGTGAGTGATCCAACCAGGTTACGCCAGCTATAGTTGTAATTTATTATAACATATTTTATATAATTAATCAACATGGCATGCTTTTCCCATTGTTGTAATAACTTCACACTGCACTGCAACAGTTAGGTACAAAAATCATCCAAGTAAGAAACAGATTTAAAAAAAAGTGACATACAACATTTGCTGTTGGCTAGTTACAGTTACAGTTCAACATACAATATAAACATATCTTCTGCTTAATATCTGAGCAGATGGCCTATAATTCCAATTATCATGGGCATGTAAAATAGTAAAGCATGATGGCTTCAATGTCCAGGAAGAGTAAACTTAAAAAAAATCACGGACATAAAATTTAGATTTATCCACACCCTACCAGAATGCCTACTCGTAGTTGTTTTAACTCTTATCTTGACCAAATGTTTCTATGAAGACATAATTATCTGGGAAGTTACTTGTGGCTTCAGTCTATATTTCAGCTTTCCTAGTTGGTCCTCTGGTTGACATCCCTTGCA